TGTCTGTTTTACCAAATATCGAAACAAACGAGGAAAGTAAGAAAGTGTATGATAATATGAAGACTATCAAATAGTGCATATTATCTTAACCAATTCCTTGAATTACTGCCAACATATGTACCACCGATTCTTTAATGCTTTTTGATTCCATCGATGATGAATCTGTTGATGAAGATTCTGATGTCCTCATTATCGATAAAGGAGAACCTGAATTTGATCCAGGTATATCTAAGACACTCAAAGATTCGAACTATTATTCAGCTATTTCCTGGTATCACCTTAGGTGAAAATTCTCCAAAGAAATATTGGCACCTGGAAGGATGTCAATTAGAAAGTTTGGAAAATAACAAATTGGCAAAACTGATTATAAAGGTAAATGCCATAAAAATTGATAATAACTATACATTGCTTCGAGCCGATCCTTTCGATATCGGAACATTGGAATATCGCAACAAAACAGAAGAATATTGCTTTTCAAAGTACACAGGAACAGAATATGTTGTGTACCAAGAAAAAACAGGATGTTCATCAGAAATTACATTCCATCCGATCAACGAACATCAAACACCATTCCACTCGAATGGATGTAAGAAAAGTATGAAGGCTGCGAAAAACCAATGGAAGCGATATAAATGCGTAAGGAGGGATAAAGTTACAGCGGAAGAGATTGTTCAAATAAAAATGGACAATCAATATGTATACTCTATTACTGTTATACTCAAAACACTACCATTAATGGAATCACCCATGTCTGTGAAACGATAGAGAACAAGTCAAGAACAAGTGCTATGCTTTTCTAACATCAATAGGCACTCCTGACTCTCCATCGCTAATCAACACGATCATAGACTGTGCACTCCATGTCTGCATGATCAACCCTCTGGGAAACAAAGAGGACCAAAAGATCCCTAGATTCATTCTCCACGATTTTTGGAAAGTAGGAGAATCCAACGATTATCAATCTGTGGAAATCGCCAAGGACGACAAAAGGTCTGATCAAGAAACCGATCAAACAGAAACCCAGACAACAATATCTCCAGGCGCCATAAACAAGGACTGGTGGTCTCTGCTGTCTCAAGACACCACTGTTGCTATAATTGGATTAACAGGAATTGCGTTCTCATTGATAAGAGCATCCAGGAAAGATGTGATAGGGCTTAAATCTAGATATGATGATGTTGTGGGTCTTCCAAGTATCCCAAGCAAGATAGGAATTTACATGTCCATTACAAAGATGCCAAAGAAAATCGAGTTCGCCCATAATGTACTGGAATCAATTGCTGGTGTCCTATCCAGAAATTCGGATGCCTTGAAGGTAGTCATGATTCCTGCGCTCAATTTTAAACGAGCTATTGCCAAAGGTGACAGAAATGATCCCGTTGCAGATGGTTATTTGAATATGCTGGCAATGTTGAGTCTACAACTAACAGGAATGAAGCCGATCAAATTAATTGTTGATCTTGCAAAAGAGTACCGGATGAGTCACATCCAATTTTTGAAACAGATTGCCCACAAACCTCTGATTAAATCCATTCTAAAACTTATTAAGTTTCTAAAAGACAACAAACCAATAGATCAAACACAGAAAGACCCCGCATCAGAGTGGGCAAGATGCATTGACCAAGGGTACTATACAGACCTGGCTGCAATTCAGAACCCTGAGCTCTATGGATTCCTAGTTGCTATTTACATCAATGCATTCCCTCAAAGCAACATAATGACATCCCCCACTGCAACCAAGCTCAAATCCTATATTGATCTGTACGCCGACATTGGAAGGAAATTCCACAATGCTCAATTCGCAAAAGTGGACATGGAACCAATTGATCCATCAAGACCAACATTCACAGAGAAGCTGATCGCCAAAAAAGAACCAGAGATCCGATCAGAAAGCACAGCAGCATTCGATGTTCCAACAGACATCTAATTGACTGTTTATTTTTGCCACCCATGTCTGTGAAAACAAAATATATAAGATCAAAAAGGGTGAGGATATTACAATCAACAACGAGGTGTTTCGGATGGAACACTTTACTAACATTGAAACCGAATTTTCGGAAACAATAAATAGTAAAGTTTTTCGAAATGAAGATGCCAGTGTGGAATTGAGACATCTGGATGAAATGATTGAAAAAGAAGACCGATTAGTAACACGGGA